GCCATTCAGTTCCTACCACACTGACCACCAGTAACTCATCGCAGGGCTTTGGTTTAGCTCACAGGAAAGATATTTTCAAGTTAAATTAAATGAAACAGTTGATGGGTTAAATTCCATTATTGCCATGCTACCGAGTTTGCAAAATATTGCATATTCTCAACATCTGATTAGGTCTAACTTTCTTGTGGAGAGGGAATGCATTTACCAGCTGTCCAACTCTCATCTAAATCCATTTTAGGATCCAGATTGGAGTCTTGTGGCATTTAGTGCATGTCTGTCAGCTTTGAGGTTATGTGTACTTTGCAAAATAAACATTTATCAGATTTACACTACCGTTAAAAAGTTTGTACAGAGTCGGTAAGATTGTTTCGATGTTTATAGAAGAAGTGTCTTATGCTCACCAAGGATGCTTTTATTTGATCAGAAAACAGTAATATTCTGAAATATCATTGCACTGTAAAAATTAGTTTTTTCTATATTATTTTAAAATGTAATTCATTCCTGTGATGGCAAAGCTGAATTTTCAGCATCATTACTCCAGTCTTCAGTGTCACATGATCCTTCAGAAATCATTCTAATATGCTGATTTGCTTCTCAAGAAACACTTATTTTTGTTGGAAACAGGTGTGCTGCTTAATATTTTTGTGGAAACCCTGAATCTATCTTCTTTTATTTTCAATTATTCATTTCTTTAAAAATCAAATTGACCTTACACTTTTGAACAGTTGTGCACTCATTTTAATTATCTTCTGGGAAATTAGACCAACAATATTGATGAATATTGATATTGAACTCATGGGCGTATTGGTTTTGTTTAATAAAATTATAAAATTGTTATGAATTGTGTTGACTACTATTTTGAAAAGTGTTGTGTAATGAAATAGTGTGTGTGAGAACGAAAGTGAAGAATAAACAAGATGGATGAAGTTTGCTACTCCTGTCTCATGTGCTTTATTGCTGTTTTACTAACTCCTGCCAGACACCCCAAATTGGTGACAAGGATTAGGTACTTTTTTTGTTTTTTTGCTATCGTTGGTCATGAAGATGGCTGTTGCTAACGTGCCTTTCACAAGTTTTTTTCCTGGCTTGCCCTAGTCTTGTGTAGCTAGTCCTTCAGACTGACCGCAGAAGGTCTGGACTCCATTGCAGCTTTCATTGGCCAAGGACCACCCAAGAGGACGTCTGACGTCTGACCAAAGCAACCAATCTCAGTTTGTTTTGTTCCGCGTCATGTTTAGGGGCGTGACAATGTAAAGTCAATGTCCCTATGACTGATTGCGTGCATCTAATAAATGATTCATTCAAGAATGTTGTGCATGTTTACTGCAATGGAGCCGCAAACTTCACATACTTTTGAAAATCCAGTGTTTAGTTGATCCTGATAAGCGCTCGTTGTCACAGTTGTAAATCCATGAGGGGGTTCGGCGTCACAACGGCTTTGTTTCCAGGCGGACCGTTAAAGACACGTGGAACACACATCTCCCGGAAATCCTGTAGAATTCAACCAATCAAATGACGACTTTGAAACTTCTGAAGAGTTTTCCATTTTGTGTGCCATATGCATCAGGCGTTCAGCCAACGGTCCGTGGGTGTGACGTCTGAGGCTGAGACTAGCATTGCCCCTGTGAGCCCGCTATGCCGTTCAGCACATGGCTGTGGATTTTTGAAAATGATCTGTGGGTTACTGATCCCACAGGGGTTGTCTGGCCATACAAAAGACGGAGAGCAGTGCAGCTTCACTGCCTCAGTACAGATGGACAACGGATTTTCTACTCATTGCCTGATACAGGTGCGACGTACAGTATAAGAACAGAGAGGATCCATTGAAAGCCTACTTTGTGCCAAAAGCCAACATAGTAGCTGAACGCCACACCTTCCGTAAATGCTGTCAGGTGCCTCACGACTCACAAGAACGTTTTACAGTTGCTTCATGTGTGTTCGGCACCAGTACTGACTAAAGTATTCATGTTGGTGATCAGTGAAATGATTGTGACTGATTATTCAAAAGCCCAAATTCCGGTGGTTGGATGTTTATCAGCAAAGGTTTCCCTACATGACCACTCAGTTATTGCTATGTTCTTCATTGTGGACAAAGGGACACCACTCCTGGGGAAGGATCTAATGTCTGCACTGCATGAGAGGATTGAAAACAATCAAGTCCTGCCTCCTAAAGCCCTTCCTGTGCCTGCTTCTCCTGTGCCAGTCTTTCAGTGCACTGTTCCTGAGTCAACTGAGTTTGGATGTACTAAAAACTTTATACAATGCGTAAAGCTGGATGAAACCGTCACACCTATGCCCTAAAAACTTCGCCGTCTGCCACTCTCTGTTCGTAGTGCTGTGTCAGAGGAATTAAATCGCTTGCAAACAACTTGGGTGATAGAAGGTATTCACACCTCTGCATGGGCGTCACAGAACAATTGTTGTTGATCTCAGAGAGCCAAATAAAGCAGTGAGTATGGACTCTTTTCCATTGCCATACATGGATGAACTACTCTCTGCTCTAAAGGTTTCAACTGTTTTCTCTACCATCAACCCGGCTAATGATTACTACCATGAGGACAGTCGTGACCTCACAGCCTTTATTACTCACAACGGACTGTTCTTTTATTGTCGTGCTCCTTATGGATTGGCTTCAGCGCCTGCGGCATTTCAGAAGATGATGGCCATCATCCTGACTGTCATCCTGGACAACATTATCATCCAAGGGCATGACATGCATGACAAAGCACTTTAAGCGTTCTTACTACGACTAGAAGCTGCGTTTCGCTTCAGGCAAACCAACCTGGTGTTCTTTGGTCATACTGTATCAGCAGAGGGTCTTCTTTTTGATGAATCACGTGTGCAGGCGATTCAAAATGCCCCTGCTGATTATCTATCACGTTTGCCCTTTCCTGCTTTTCCTGCGGATGGTGCTGTTGCTCCAGCTCCTGCTGATGATGTTGATGAGAAATTTGTTGCTTTTCTATCTGCCGCCTGTGGTTCTCTGTCTGCTGCCGATGTGGATGCTGCATGTGCTTCTTGTCCTGCTCTAACCAAACTTTGTACACAGATTACTAGTGGATGGCCTTCATCATCAAAGGGACTGGACGTTGAGTTGTCGCAGTGTTATAAACTGTCTGGAACTGTCTGTTAAGGACAGCTTCATATGTCGGGGCTCACGGCTGATTGCACCTGCTTCTCTTTGGTCTGTGCTGGTCTCCATAGCACACAAGGGACATCGGGGAGAGGGGAGAGCCAAACGACACCTTTGTGATCTCTGTTGGTGGCCAGGGATGGATGCTCAGGTTCATGATGCTGTCCGTTCCTGCTACGTGTGTCAGCTCAATGACCATTTGACACTCCTGCATCTGACTGCAGGTTTGCTATAACCTTAACGGACTATTACAGCAAATGGCCTGAGGTCTCCTTTGCTCCCACTGTTGCTACAGTTTCTGTGGTTTAGTTTCTGTCATCAGTCGCCATGGAAATCCATTGAGTATAGTTACTGATAATGGTGGTCAGTTTAAATCTGCTGCTTTCGTTGCTTGTCTGGAAGGAAGGAATATTCGTATATATCTCTCTATACTACCCGACAGCTAATGGTGCTGTAGAGAGGTTCAATCATGTGTTCAAACACAATGTCCAAATGGCCATCCAGCAAAATATGCCATGGAAATCTGTGGTAACCGACCATTCACAGGTGTACCATTCCACTCCACATACTGAAACTGGTGCTTCACCTGTTCCGCTACTCTATAGCAGGCAAATGCGCACAAAACTGTCTATTTTGCTATCTGCTCCTGTGAAGTCATTAACGGACATGACTGTTTGTCGAAGGCTTACGTGGCTGCAACACAAAATGAAAAAGTACACTGATGCTAAAGGCCATTGCACACTGAGTCCGAAATTCGCATCCGAAATTTTCGCACGTTGAGTCAATCACGCTTGCACACTGCCTCCGAAACTTTCGTCCGTCATAAAAAAAAATCGGATCGGGTTCGATTTTCTGCGTTTTTCGCATCCGTAGCAAGCAGTTTGAATGGAGTTTGAATGGTGTTTTGACAATTCAGAGGCACCGAATCACGAATACGAAAAACGCATGCAAAAATTTCGGACTTCAGTGTGCAATGGCCTTAAGCGGGGCACTTGCTCTTTCAGGAAGAGGATAAAGTGAGGGTATGGAATCCTTTGCATATTCACCGAAAGTTTACTGAGTTCAGTTGCCAAAAGATTTGGGCTGGGTACATACATTCTTAGTGATGACATGGAATGAATGATCATGATGACATGGAATGTTTCCCCTCTCACTGCATTTCCATGGACACCAACATCTCCTAAGAACACTGCTCACCACACACACACACTCATACCACTAGACCTAAACGTGATGTTTAGTAGCCTAATATAGAGTTGCTTAAAGGACTATGTTACTTAGATCTGATCTGGATATTATGTGTGGATGTGTCTGCATTGCATATGCAGCTCTAATGTACTGTTTGTTTGTTTGTTTTTTGTTATCTTGTATGAAACAGTAGGGTTTAAGAAACACTATTTAATGGGTTCAATCACATGAAGTAATACAATGTATTTGAATGCAATGTAAGTCACTTTGGATTAAATTTTTTTCAAGGCTCGAAAGCTTTGATATATTCACCCAAATGTCCACAAATTAAAATATGACCACAAAAACAAGAACACTGATTGCAATAAAGTGCATAGATATGGGAAGGAGGAGGCAGGAACTGGCAAAAGATGAGTGTAACTTTAATGACAAAATAAACAAAGTAGACGAAAGTAAGCAGCAGCCTTTCGACTTTCGCATGTAAGCATAATAAAAAACATTAAGTCCCAGGCCTTTTACTCTCTCGTCTTCCATTGTCTTCACTCCTCCTTTTATCCTTAACATTTGCTCCACCGGCCTCGCTCCGCTCCCACATTTTTAATGCAGTATTTAGACTTCTCATACCAGCACTGTTATGTTTCAACATTGCAAATTTTAACCCTTGACTGTGGCCGTCCAGATCGAAATCTCCATCTTCGAGGACAGTGGCTCCACCAGCTCCAGCTCTAGTGGAAGTTCTCCGACCAGTAGCACGGCTCAATGACTGGAGGAGCAGCACCAGGGGTACGGGTACAGGGGGGTCTGTACGCTCCCCAAGATCCGCATGTTGAAACATGAGAGCACCAGATTTTAAATACTGAGTGAGAGAGAGAGGATACAGGTACTGCTCACTCACTCGCTTCTTCCAAACAACAAGCGCAAAGCCAGGAGCTTTAACTCACAAACACAACTTCCCCATCTCATTTAATTTAACCTCCTCTGCATTTCTATTAAGTGACAGATATAAGTTGATCAGACACCCTCAATAATGAAATAAAGAGGGCTAGAAATGATTGGAGTGCTTTCTACAGATTTCTCACTGTGCCTTAGCTCTGGAAAATCAGGTTAAGATGGTTTTGAAACAACAGGTAGTCTAGGTAGTCTAAGATGGCAATTAGCTGGTTTACCATGTTCCAAAAGAAACCTTATAATGGCATGACCAACTGATAGCTGCAGGCTACGTCTACACTAATCTGGGTACATTAAATGCATTTTTTTTTTATATGTGTGTTCCTTTCGTCCACACTGAGACAGCGTTTTTGTCCCGCTTAAATAGAGCTTTCTGAAGATGCTCTGCCAAGTAGATAAATGTAAAAATGCAGTTTTCACTTTATAGTGTAAACTGTAAAATCTTAGGTATTTGAAAAGGATAGCGCATGTTTAGTCATGTGACGCATATTAAACTGTACCTATAGATATCTATGTTTATACCAGTATGTGCCTGCTTTGTGCTATTCACTTTCACAGTGTTACTAAAGATAAATGCTACTTTGTACAATCTTCATATTACATTCCTGCAAAAACGACAAAAAATTACTCGCAATTGCTGTCCTACAGCAAAACACGAGGGCAGTTGCGTTTTAGTCAATATGTGTAATGGCAATTTAATGCGACCTGAACGCACTAGTAACTAATTAGCTTTTTCCAACGTTTCAGTGTGGACGAGAAACTTTTTGAAAATGCTTGTGCGGACCGTGAGCGTTTTGAAATGAAAATGTTTGGTAACACTTTATTTTACAACCCGCAAACAACTGCGTAAGTACACCGAAATTACAGTGTACGTTTCTGTAATTATAGCGTACTTCCGCGTAGGTATAAGGGAACAATATGTTAAGTTTTGGGTAATAAAGGGGTAACAAGCAGATATACAACCTGTAAATAACTTCGTAAGTAAATCAAAATTACGGTGTACGTTTCTGTAATTATAGTGTACCTCCGTGTAGGTATAAGGGAACAATATGTTAAGTTTTGGGTTGGCTAATAAAGGGGTAACAAGCATATATACAAGCAAATTATTTATAATGTAATTATTTTAAAACTAACAGGTACCTATTATGTTAATATATTCCAGGCAAAAATTGTACGTCTGTTGTATATAAAAGTTATCATCACATTTCTGGCAAAATATGTTCTTGTGCAATTTTACAGGGTAATTTTGACATCTGTGGGTTGAAAATGAAACGTGTATGGCTGTATGTAAGCACAGTATGATAAAAAATGAATTTATTGGCTTTTCTTACTAGATTAAATAATGTTAAATCAACCCACAGATGCCGAAATTAAATGTAAAATTGTACAAGAACATATTTTGCCAGAAATTTGATAACTTTTATACACAACAGACGTAAAAATTTTGCCTGGAATATATTAACATAATAGGTACCTGTTAAAATAATTACATTATAAATAATTTGCTTGCATAGCTTGTTACCCCTTTATTACCTTATACCTACACGGAGGTACACTATATTTACAGAAACGTACACCGTAATTTCAGTTTACTTACAAAGTTATTTGCAGGTTGTATACTATCTGCTTGTTACCCCTTTAATACCCCAAACTTAACATATTGTTGCCCTATACCTACACGGAAGTACCCTATAATTACAGAAACGTACACTGTATTTTCGGTTTACTTACGCTGGTGTTTGCGGGTCGTAAAATAAAGCGTTACCAAATGTTTTAATGTAGACATAGCCTAAGATGGTTCCAAAACATAGCAACCAGCTTAAGCTGGATTTTCCAGCAGGGCTTTGGTGCTTATTTAGTTTGGACAGTGACTGAGCTCTCTCTATTCATCCCCCTGATGTTCAGCAGTGCCTCAGTTCACTGGCAGGCTTGACCCTTTGCAGCGCTCCAGGCTCATGTTCCTTCTGTTAGTTCCACCACATACCTGCACCTCAGAGGTTCAGTGTTTGGTGTCGTGGACAATATGCCCAAACCGGGCAATGCTCCCCTCTGCTCATGGAGGATAATAACAAATGGCAGCCCTTCTGGCAGCTTGTTTCTTTATTATTTTTTTCTTAATTATTTTTTGTACGATCAAATCTACCTCTGGTTTGTGCAGGGAGCCGAGGGAGCCAGTTTAGACAGGATGAGGTCCAACATGTAAATGCTCCTTAGATAACGTTTATTTGGACTGATCTGGTTCAGAGGAGATTGACTCACCAGCTGTTCAGAATGAGCTGTGAGATTTTTCATTGCTCTTGTTGGTTTCATGTTAAGCATATTTGCTAGACTCTCAGACATAATTCATGCAAGAATGCATGTTCATTAATTCCCTTAAGATAGAGCATAATCTGCTATGATAGACTTCCCTTCAGTTTATGAGTTAGTTGAAGTAAAAAACTGTGCAGTAATTGTCCTGTATTAATTGTGCCAGGAAAGTAGAGTTTTTTCTGTAAGGCACAAGGGGCAAAGCAAAGTGGCATAACTGTTTAATGTATTTGTAATGTATACATAAAACACGTTTGAGCAGTTGAATTTGATCTTCCTTATCTTGTAGCATTCAGTAATGCTCTTTTTGGGCTGCAGGAAGTTTTGAGTTACTTTATCTCAAAATGTCAAGGTAAATTTGATTCCACATTTGAACTCCCTTTAACTGCCTGTTCATTATTTTATGACATTTGTTTCCTCTTTTTAATGAACTGCTCCCCACCTGGCCACAGTTACTGTAACCCATCTTTGAGCTTCTCTTGGGTTTCTCCTCAGTTCATTTCTGACAGCCACTCATCTGATATGTATCGTAGCGTTCATAGATCTCCTGTGCTTGCTGCCTTCATGTTTCACTGCTGTGGAGATACCAACCCTGGCGCTGATCCACCAGGACCGACCACTTCTGTAAATTGTACATGACTTGCACTATTAATGCATGAGAGTCTTTGTCTATGTGGACTTCAAGTCATCAGTGAGTGAATGTCTGTAGGTTTTCTGCCATATGATATATTTTTGAGACCAGTTTACAGTGGGACCTTTGAGAATTGATTGGATTGTGAAAAATAGGCATTTCTACAATGGATCCGTTTTTTTTTTTTACAATTTTATTTGAAATTGCAAGAAGCAATGAATCGTGCACAATAACATCATGGTACATGAGTTAAGAAAGTGTATTTTCATTGTGATTTCATGTTGACTGTTTGTTGGGATGGAAAGGCATGTTTTTGACAAGTTGCTCAGGAAAGATTTTACAAGTAAATCTGCCAAACCTCTCCCACCCACGGCCTTTACGTTTTGACAAAGCTGACTGAAAATCAAAATTATTTCTTGGCAGGGTTTGACCGACTGATTTTGACTCTAATGATGGAGTCTGAGGGGCCTTTCAATATTTACAATATTTAGTCTGAAAGGGCCCTGGGCTGATCCATACAAATCAGTAAAACATGACATAAAAATTTAAGTTACATTAAAAAGACATATATTACCTTGTGTTTATATGGACAAGCCTGCTATTTTGGACAGGTTGTATATAATTCATATAAAGTGTCAGGCACTGTGTCTAGCGTCATGCCATGAGTTTTCCACAAAACTCACTTTTCATTTATATCAACAAATATTGGGTATGTCAGATGTAAAATCGAATTAATACACATCTGTTATAGGAAAAAAGAATCACATGTGTATTAAAAAGTACTTTGATATGGCAAAATGTAAATACTAATTTTGTATTGTATATTATATTGTTTTGAACCAATTGTATAGAAAAAACACTGGAGAATTATTTAACAAACAAAAAAAATCTAACATGTTCATGTCTTCCTAATGTTGAAGCATAACTTTCCATTACCTTAATACTTCTGTTGGGAATATTATAAAATATCTGGCTCATTGCTGCAACAGAGACAAATGTGTTTTATTATCTGTACTAATATACCTTGAAATGGAGAATATATAACAATGTAGCAGGTATTTCTTCTGCTGTTTGTTTAGTACTGTTATGTTGAACTCAATGTATCAAGAGAGAGTTTTATACCATTTATATATCAAATATATATTTATCCCCGAAATGTCTGGATGTGAGCAGGATTCTGCAAAGAGGTATTGTTTTCTTCTTCTACACAGAATGCCAACAGAAATAAAATGTTTTTTTGTTTCTCTGGAAACGGAGATCAGATGAGTTTTTTTCCCCCTGCAAATACATAGACAGTGCTAAAATAAAAACAGACTGTTTTCTGGGCATGTGAGCTAGGTTAACAAACATGGGTTCATAATTTTGGTAAATCTCAACAGGCAAATTCAAGGTCCAGCTCACACACTCTCCAGAAGTCATTCTCTCCCATAAGACATTAAGCAGCATTACTGGCTTGAGAAGAAGTCATATATTCTTATTTGAGAGGAAATGGTATTGCCCTTGATGTGACAGACGAGTGTTCTACGCCAGAGATGGAGGATTAGAGTTATGACTTTGGCAACCCAAGGCTGCTTTTGGTTCTTCAGTTTTATAGAGCATTTGCATTGGGTCTGTTCTTCCTCCAGGATATTAGTGCAGAAGAACAGATTCACCTGCTGATATGAAAGCCTTGTGATTTTCAAATGGGGTAACACTTATAATAAAGTTCAGTAATAAGTCACTTATAAGTTATTAGTTAATGAGCTAATCATTTACAAAACATGACTGTACAACCATAAATTATTAATAAGTGATGTTAAGATTTTATGCTTTATTGATTCAGTTTTAAGTCATTTACTGTATAAATGACTGAATTAGTTAATGATGAACTAATCATTTAAAAAAAAACATGACCATATGTTAATAAATTATTAATAAGTGGTGTGGTAACATTTTATGAATGTTTTGTTAAATCAGTTATGAGTCATTTATAAATTATTAGTTGATGAACATCATTTATGAAACATGACTATATGTTAATAAATGATTAATATGTGAAAATAATGCTTTGTGAAAAATAAAGCAAAGATGGTGAACAAATGACAAGAAAGAACAAAAGATGAACAGACGCAGACAGTACACAAGACTATCAAGCAAGAGTTTGTTGTTAGTCGCCAGCAGCACACCAGCTCCAAACAAACAATGAGTGGGATTATAATGGGAATTTGGCAATACTTTGATCAAACTAATGCAATTAAGCTCAA